ACACAAACTCCTTCAATCACCAATGAAATTGAGAATTTCAAACCATCAAACTTCTATGAACATAAGCACTAACATTCACACCTCCAAACTGCTTTTGGCAGATTAGTTTCTATAAGTAGATTGGTTTCTATATTAAGGATTTGGGAATTCTATTCAAACCTAGGTCAACACATCAACAATTAAGTCAACATAATCATGTTATGCTCCAACTTAAGTAATGAGTCAAGAATGGCTATGTACTCAAATAATTAAGTCTAGCAAGGATAAGTATATAAGTAAAATCATAAGATACGATATTGTCAACTTCTAACTAAAACTGTACTCAATTCAAAAAATTAAATAACATCTTAGGCGGCAAGCCATTCAACAATATAATAAACACTATTTTTGGGTTTTAAAAAAAATCAATTCTTTTTAAACAGTTATATTGACCAAATCAGAAGTTGAAAAATATATATTCTAAGTATTCTAATACTCACTCACCCCCAAACAAAAATATTACATTGTCCCCAATATAAGAGCAAAAATAATCAAAGCAAAGGAGTACGGATCAGAAACTCTTCGAGGGTAGATGCGGATAGGTAGAAGGATCAAGTTGGTCCGATTAGTAGACATCACGACAACGACCACCGTTCTTTGTTGTTAGGCTTTAATTTTTTGTTTCAAGAATTCAAAATAAATATTAGTAATAACAAATAAGGTTTAAATAATTGCAATGAATTCACACCAGGAAGAATAATAATTTTCCAACTTTTAGAAAACTATCTAACAGAGCGTGCATCCTTGGAAAAATCCTATAGTTAGGAAAAGATAAGTCTTTCAAATTGGCCTGGAGGTTGAAACCTAGGTGCAACCTTAAAAATGCATATCACATGAATGTAAGCTCAATATAATGTTAGGATGTTAATAATAAGCCTAAGTAAAATGAACTCAACAAGCAAACGTACCTAAGTTACTAATGCAAGTCTTAAAATATTACCTAAAATGTGTTACAATCATTTAAATGCATGAGTTCCTAAATATGATCCTAAAATACTAATACAATCCCTAAAGCTACGTATAATGAAATAATTAATCAAAATAAGTTTAAAAAGATAGAAAAATGGGTTGCTTCCCATTAAGCGTTTGATTTATAGTCCAGAGCTCTACTTTTAGGTAATTTACTCTTGGCGGTTCAAAGCAGACTATACTGTCCAAAACAATTCACACTGTTTAAAGTTGTCACACTGTTTGGAGTTGTCAACCCTCTGTCGATTCTCCGAACTTGAAAATCTCTTTCTTCATCCATGATGTTCCCAATTATTCTACATATTCCCTTCCTGTGTGGACACTTTGTATAATCCTTTACTTTTTATTCTTTAATTTTTTGTGGACACTTAAAATAATCCTTTACTTTTTATTCTTTAATTATTCTACATATTCCCTTCCTCTGTCGATTCTACATGAATTTTTTCTTGCTCATCATCTATCCTCAAAATTAGCTCGCCTGCTTCGAAGTCCATAATGACCCAACTCGTGGATAAGAATGATCGATCCTAGATCAGTTATACATCCCAGTAGTTTCTATATCTAAGGCAGAGAAGTCCGTTGAAAATATGAACTTGTCTACTTTAATGAGCACATTCTCAATCATTCCTCGAGGGTATTGGATTGATCGATCTGTCAATTAAAGGGAGATTGTAGTATCTTTTAAATCTCCTAAATCTAATTTCCTGTAGACAGAAAAAGACATTAGATTTATACTTGCTCCCGAATCACATAAAGCATTAAAAGTATGATTATTTCCTATTGAGTAAGGTATTTTGAGATTCTCTGGATCATTTAGTTTATGAGGTAGTTTGTGTTGCAAGATAGCACCGCACTCCTCATTTAGCACGATAGTCTCAAATTCATTGAGTTTTCTTTTCTTCGACCACATCCTCTTTAGGAACTTTGCATAAATTGGTACTTGAGATATGACCTCAATCAACAGAATATTGACATGAAGCTTTCTAAAGATATCCAAGAATTTTGCAAACTACTCTTCAAACTTCTTTTTTGGTGCTTTCACAATCGGATCCTCCATTATTTCATTCTCTGAAACACTTATGGCCATTACCTGTTTTTTGGGATTAGTCTCAGTATTTCTTGGCAAGGTACCTGGTGCTCTGCCTGATATATCAAGCACCATCTGTCCAATATGAGTTTCCAGGTTCTTGATTGCAGCACTCTAAGCGAGTAGTTCATAAGAAGACGTCGATAATAAATGAGGTAGACACGTATATAGCATTATCTGCAAAAATTAACTCTTTGGTTCATAAGGTTGAGAGCATATCACAGTCAACCACGCTCTCAAATAACTCCAATGTTTCATCAATTGTCTTCGTAGATAAGGAGCCATTGGATGATGAGTCCACCATGCCCTTATAAGAAGGAAATAGACCTGCATAAAAACTTTAGACCTGGAGCCCTTTACTGATGCCGTGATTATGACATTTGGAAGCATGTTCTTAAATTTCTTCTATGCCTCATCAAAAGATTCGATTTCTCCTTGATGGAATATGAATATGTCATGCTTCAACTTTGCTATCGTTGCCGGTGGAAAGAATTTGGTACAGAATTTTTGAACTAAATCATTCCAAGTAGTGATATTAGCAATAGGTTGTGAGTTCAACCATTTAAAGGCTCTATCAAGTAGAGTGTGTGAATAATCTCAATCTGATAGCATCATTTGAAACACCTTGATGTTTAAAATGTTGATACATCTCCAAAAATTGAGAGATGTGTGTGTGGATTTTCATCAGCCTTGCCATATAATTGTTGTCCATTTTGAAATAAATGGATGACGTTGGTCTTCAATTGTCTCTACAGGTAATAAAAAAGCTTATGCGTGGTCCACACTTCTTTTTTCCTCCACCATCTTCACCTTCGCATCCCCATCGATCAGGGGAGTATTCCTCGCCCTTTGTTCTTTATCTTCTGTGAATTTGACTTTAATTTTATGCGCTGCTAAGTTTTCATTTTATATTCTTTAAATATTGAGGACAATGTTGTGTATACGTTTGGGGGTTGGAATATGTCAATATGTCATTCATCATATTACCGGAGTTTTTGTTTTTTTGTGATTATGTGAAAAAAATTATTAATTTTTCGTTTTGTTGAATTATTCTTAGTTTTACGCATTTCTTAGTAATAGTTTGAGATTTTGTGTGCTTGTGTGGGTTTGACAATTCTGTCGACCGTGATGTTTAATATTGGGCTGTGCATGGACTGTGAATGGTGAAAACTGTACTTCATTAGATTGATCAATGCATGTTTATGTGAAACTTGATTTACTTTGCGCACGACACTCATGTTTGCACATTGGGCTAACGAGTTGACTCATTGCTTAGGAATAAGAGAACTTAGAAAATCCAGAAAAACCTTTCTTGTGCTAAACCATGACCAATTTTTAGAATAGTTTGGAGGTAATTGAATTGTTTCAAGGAAACATTGAGATGAGTAGGCGTTCCCTACATGATGTTATGTGTGGATTTTCTA